TAATTTGTGTGCCAGAGTTGGTAAAAGAAAAATTACATCCTGTCAAAAACTCAATATTTTAGGATGATGCGCTAATTTGTGCATGCTTTAATGTCCCGTTATTTGATCCATGGTTTACAATCTTCAATAACATTAAGTTTGCTAATGCGTGTTTTCGCGTGTTTTTTGTATTTTTCAAGTTTAAAAAAGGATGAAAGTACACAAGTTTGTGTTCGCTTGTTCTACTCTTTACACATTCAACAATGGATGAGAAATCATTGGAAGGGACAGCGAACAGGTGCAGTGATACCATTTTCTGATGTAGGAATTCTAACTCCTGAAATTTCATGCGCTCTTTTATCTCACCACCTGGTCAACAGTTGCAGATTAGCGCATAACTTTTCGGCGGCTTGGAGCATGGGGTCAAAGGAGAGCGGCTTGATTCCAGTCCTTCTCTATCACGTCCCTGCTTCCTGCATGCATGTAGTCGGCGTTCGTCGTGTTCTCATCCACTCAATCTAAAAGTCCCTATTACGTCTTGGGACTGACGTTTGATGTCACCTACCTAATGACATGACTCAGGATCGAATATACATGTACCAGCTTTCATATGAAATATGCTGCTGTGTATATGCAATAATGATGAATTTTTCTTTCACAAATTTTGCCTTTTTACTTTTCTCTCATTATACAGGTAAATAGGAAAACAGACTGAAAACTTGTATGATAGATTTGAGAGTGTAGTTTGAAATGTTATTTGTTCTAATTAAATCATTAAATAACTACCGGTATGTAAATCTCCTGTTCTGAAAACAATTGTGTTGCATGAGAACACCATAATTTCAAGAAGAAAACGTTTTTTGTCTTGCCTGCGTAGCAAAAGCGAGACATCTAGGCGCCGTTTTTCCGGTGACGGCGCTGGTGGTGACAGCGACGTCTACATCAAAAACTTAACCTAAGGTTAAGTTTTTGAATTTTTATTATAATTTTAAAAGTATATGTTCCTTTTCAATAAAACTCGGATTAAAGGGTTATTAAGTATCGTTAATCATGTGAGGAGATTTTCAGGTCGCAAAGTCAAAGCCAAAGGTCATTTCAGGTCAACAGACTCAGACTATGTTGTGGCATCATCAACAAAAACTTAACCTCACGTTAAGTTTTTGATTTATAGGTTCCTTTTCAATGAAACTTGGACTAAAAAGTTATCAAGTATCCCCAATCATGTGATAAGAATTTCAGGTCACTAAGTTAAGGTCAAAGGTCATTTCAGGTCAACAAACTTAGACTATGTTGTGGCATCGAAATCAAAACTTACCCAAAGGTTAAGATTTTGAACTGTTATCATACTTTTGAAAGTATACATTCCTTTTCCATGAAACTTGAACATAGGGGTTATCAAGTATCAAAAATTATGTTATTAGTCTTTTAAGTGAAAAAGTCAAGGTCAAATGTAATTTCAGGTCTGCAAACTTAGACTTTGCTCTGGCATCAACATCAAGAATTTAAACTTTTAGCATAATTTCAAAAGCGTTTGTTCAAATTCCATGAAACTTGTACACAAGGGTTATCAAGTATCACAAATCATATGACATAAATTCCAGGTCACAAAGCCAAGGTCGAAGGTCATTTTAGGTCAGTAGACTTGGATTATGTTTTCACAACTTAAAATGAGAATTAATAAAACAATTTTTGTTATTTGTTTATATTCCGTTACAGTTATCAATCGTGGTACAAATTAAAGTAAATAATTTTTCTGATGATGATTTTTAGTCAATATACATTTCAAAATGCTGAACATATTCACATGATTTCATTTTGTTGGGCCTGCTAATGGGTCACCCTGCCTATAGATAATGTGCCAACCTCAATTTTTCATCATATCGAATTGCGTAATGCAGGCGAGACCACCGAGAGCGTTTCCCTTGTTTATTTTAAAGAATATGATAAGCATATTATGATATAATTAAATGCATTGTGATTATGTTCATGCATACTGAAATTCACGAGGTGAACAGTAAAGAAATTCATAATGAAGCAAAATCTATTTTTTTTTGTTACTATACATTGAATCGCATTGTATCATCTAAACTTTTTTTACATGACTGAAATGAACATCAGGAGCCTTCTGTATATTAAAAAAAGTTTGGTGTAAGTGGGATTGATTAACATTTTAAAGCAAATCTTCAATATTCAGTTCATGATTGGATGAAAAAATAGCTTGCGTTTAATTTTAGGGTTGTGTTTCAACTTTGATAGAGGTAGCTCTTTTTGCAGGAGACCCCAGTGTCCTTATTATAAAAGAAAGATAATTCACAGCTGGGCCCTGTTTCATGCAACTAGCTACATGTACATGTTATTGGTGACAAGCTTCGTAATTGATAAAAGCTACTAAAATCAGCAAAGTTCATTAGCTGGAAGCAAATTTGGTATAGAATTGTGGCAAGTGATCTTCATACATGAAACAGGGCCAAGCTGTGATCTTCTTCTCTTTTTGTAATTGGAGCTGTGATAGCATTACCAAAAAAGATTCCCGAATCGGAAATTTTGTTCATATTTCTTTCCATTATTACGCAGCTGCATACGTGTTGTATGTTGTAAGTGTACATTTGTATATATTGTAACGAAATAAATTCAGTGTTCTTCAAGGGAAAATATGCATTTAATATATCTCTGTATTTAGCATTTCATTTAGTACTTTGTGATACGATTATTTGCATATGGACAAAATGGCAATCGTTTGTTGGACCATGTAGTTTTATTTATACATTTGCATGAAGACAGTGCTCTTAACAAATAATGCATGGGATTATTAAATAAAGAAATAAAGTTATGTGGAAGGTGAATGAATACTGTTGATTATATAATTATGTATGATATGAATAGGTAGGCCTATGGAGAAATGTATATGTATAATATGAATACATAATAATATTTTCTGATTGATAATGCTTCGTTATCGAATGAATTATGGTATCATGGTAGACAATCCATTTGATAATAAAGAAAGAACATGATATCAAAGTAAGATTGTGCCGTGCTATTTTCTTCTTCTGCAAAGATTTTATAGTCCTCGTATTGGTAATCAGCCTATACTACTTTTCTCTGTAACAGGTTGCCATTTTGATCTTCTGTTTCTTTCTATGGTAACTTTACCGGGCAATCTAAACCTTGCAGTAAGTTGCTTGGAAGGAAGGGAGAAAAATCAAGATATTAATGAAATCAGAGAAAAAAAGTAGGAAAGCTAAGTTTTTAATTTGAAATCATTATATGGGAATTTCATATTAGAAATTAATAATTTCAGAAAAATGCTCGTATACCCTTGCGCACATGTTGTTCCTTTATACAACTATCAATTTTAGTCTCTTAAGAGTTTTTTTTTTTTAGCATTGTAAATATTGAATTTGATGAATTAAGCGAATTACATTCTGTGCCGTTCAGAACAAGCAACCAAAAAGATCATAAGAAATTATGATATATTTTTTGGGCAGGAGGGGGAGGGGTTCGTTTTGGGAAAATGCGCCAGGGCAGAGCTTCTTAGTAATGAATTGAGGGCACAGTCTATCGTATATTCAAATTCAAACTCAAACTTTATTGATTTCAATCCAAACAGATAGGATTATTCTCATTTTTTTGTATACATTGGATAACAAATTTCAAAATTATAGTGTAACATAGATAATCGAGTATAAGAGTAATGATAACAATAACCGGGAATAACACAATTTAACATACTAATGCATGTCTCACCTAAAATATAATACAGGGATGAGAATAAATTATTACAATTTTTCCTATTTTATTTTCAAATAAAAAGGAAAAAACACAAAAATACAACATAATGGTAAGACAATATACATATATATATGTTTTATGATTGTCCCTCATCACGAGATGATCCCGACAACTCGACCCTATTCAAAATCCAAACTCGTGGGAGACAGTGAGCATGGGAAGACAATAAATAATGCTTGTTACCAAATCGTTGTTCCCGGTGGTCCCTCTTCTTTTCTGACAAAACATGGGGGGACATTTGATATGATGCCCCCCTAGAAAATTCGTGGGGGGACGTGTCCCCCCGCCCCCAGGATTGACGCCCATGAACACACAAACACACACACACACACGCATATATATGTGACAAATCGATGTGTACTTCTCCCCAGGCACGTAGCTAGAGTTTGATGTTAGGGGGGGGGCACATGTAATCGACCGAGGTAAAAAAAAAAAAAGGGGGGTCTAAAAACGTTCAACGGATATTGGATTTTTTTTTTTTTTTTTGGGGGGGGGGGGCACGTGTCCCCCGTGCCCCCCCCCCCCCCCCCCCGTGGCTTCGTGCCTGCTTCTCCCCCCCCCCCCCTCACATTCTCGCTTCTCTTTGTTGGTTGTATGGTGCGCGATATCACACCATGTTCACATGATCAGCCCGAGCGGGATGATTTGGACTGCTGTGGCATGACGTTATGTCTATAGTCGGTGGGGATTCCCCTAAATTGCGACCGCGCATAAATTATTATGCTCAGACTCAGAGCACGTACTATACGTACTGCTGCTACTGCTTGACAACCAGACGCGACGGGCAGAACGGAAGCATTCACAGAGTATAGTAGAATTTATCAGGCCGTCGCTGCGGAAAAAATATTAGGGACTTTTAGATTCGCACGAAGACAATAGGTCTATGCTACGATCGACGTCCTTGTAATGCACTGCCTTCAATGGACGTCACGCGTATCAGTCCACGCAAATCTAAAAGTCCCCAATAATCAACACGGAGTACATCATCGTCACGTGATGTAGATTGCGCGCGGGATACCGGGTACGATTCTATTCTATTACCAAAACAGTTATCTGTAGGCCTCTAAACTTGGTGTTCTTGTCCTGGAACAGAATTCATGCAGATGGAATATTCGGAGGCTTATATGAATTATATGGAGGAGAATTTATTGGGCTGTCGCAGCGAAAAGATCAATCATTGAAACAAGGAAACTTTGTAGCAGTACAAAATGCTACCACTAAAAAGAAAGATGGATTCTGCACGGCCACGGCAATCTGACAATCAAATTGGTTTGAATGTTGGCGGTAAGATCTACCTGACAACTCGGGACACCCTGACGCGGTACCCGAACAGTTTCTTTGCCATCATGCTAGACAGTGATATCCCTTCTGATAGAGATGCCCAAGGAAACTACCTGATTGACCGGGATAGCGAGATATTTCGCCATGTCCTGAATTTCATGAGGTGTGGCGAACTTGTGCTACCACGGGGATTTAATGAGTTCGATTTACTGGAACGTGAAGCCGACTTCTTTTCGCTCGAGGCGCTGGAAGTGGCGTTAAGAGAAGCTGCAGGTATGTCGGTGGGGATTACGGTAATTGGAACGGGTAATGGCACCAGGAGCACGTATATGATGACCAGAGAGGCATTGATGAGAGAAAAAGAATCTTTCTTCACCGACATGTTGGATGGAGGGAAGCCATTTCCAAGAGACAGACAAGATAACTACGTCATCAGTAGGAACAATAGTCTCTTCCATCATGTTGCTGACTACCTAGTACGTGGAGGAATCCTCAATGACATCACATCGAGTGACCTTCAGCAGCTACGAAAAGAAGCCAAGTATTTTAGACTGCAAATGTTGGAACAACACATTCAAAGCGTTGAATCCTTGAGGCAACAAGGATTCCTACACATTCATTTCTTTTACTCTGAGAATGGCCCGTGTGTTGCTTATTCAGGCAAGCTCCGTGATCTAGACCGCTTATCCCTCGAAAAGCTTTGGAAGGGATATCAAATTGGTAACGAAGTCTATGCTGGAGAAGTGGACCCTAAAACAATGTTCAAATTTACAAGTGCAAGCTCTGTTAAGGAATTTTTCTCAACCCAGACATCCAAATCTGTTAAAATGTCTGAACTAAGCTCCAATTGTACTCGAATAGATGTGCAAATATACTAGGACCCGAGAAAAGATCAATATGGAGTGGTAAATATATCTCAATCGGTTATCCTAAAAGATGTAGCTTTTAGCCCGGCACGCATGTATCGGATATTTTTAGATTTCATTTACCTCAGTCTGCTAAAAGTGCTTATGATTTTCTTAGCGTATATAGTTTTGTTGCAAAGTAAGATAAATTGTAATATATATTGTTACCCCTTAAATTTGCGCTGCAAATGCATAATGGAATTTGTATCATTATGTAATTGTTATAATCATGTAGTAGTAATTAATGATAACAATAATAATAATAATAATAATAATAATAGTAATAATAATAATAATGATAATAATAGTAATTTCAATGATATCAATGATAATAATAATGATGATAATTGTGATAATGAAGATAATAATAATGAAAATAACATTGAAAATAATTATGATAATGATTATGATGATTATAATAATAATAAAGATAATAGTAATAGTAATCATGATAATGATTATGCTAAAACAAGATTAATCTATAAAGCGCCATTTTAAGAGATATAAATTAAGTGCAGTATAATATCATTAACAATGCATTCTCTCAACATATCTTTATGTTAATTGTTTTGTATGCTGGGTTATCTGTCTATATGTTCTCTTTGAATATGATATTGATTTGATTTTTAAGAGGATTGTTTTTGTGGATATTTAATTAAAGTTAATAAATTGTTATTTTATGTGTTTGGACCCTACACCTTCAGTCTGTAATGTCTGTCGCACGCGGCACGCGAGACGATTTGATGCGACCCCCAACAAAATAATAACACTAGGAAAAAATGCATAATAATAAAGGCACTGATCATTAATATGTGTGTCTCACATATAAACTATTATTATTCATCTGTCATCTTATGCTTTGACGTGTGATGAAAGAAAAAAAGAACAAACGAGGAACAATATAAGTGGAATGTATTTAGCTGGAGGGTTGGGGGATTCATAGAATGGCTTCTATATATAATATATGTCTCTTCTCTCGGTTTAACTGATTGTGTTATACTTGTGCAGGTGGACTAATACCCTGGGGCTTCCTCCTCTTATTCGAATAGTGCATGTGGTTTTGTAACATGGAAATAAAAGCACTATATAAGATTCCACTATTATTATTATTATTATTATTATTATTGTTATTATATGAGATGTACATGTATATCACTTTAGTCTTGGAATTGACGTTTGATGTCACCTACTTAAGACATGGCTCAAGATTTAATATACCAGCTTCCATATGAAATATGCTTCTGTGTATATGCAATAATGATGGATTTTTCTTTCACAAATTTTGCCTTTTTACTTTTCTCTCATTATATTTATACAGGTAAATAATATAAAAGATCTTTAGACTGAAAACCTTGTTGTATGATAGATCTGAGAGTGTACGTAGAAATGTCATTTGTTCTAATTAAATAATTAAATAGCTATGTAAATCTCATGTTTGAAAAACAATTGTAAGTATTGCATGTGAACAACATAATTTCAGGAAGAATAAGTTTTTCATTTTAAAGAATACATTAAAGTATATAAAATTAGATACATTTTAATTATGTTCATGCATACTAAAATTCACAAGGTGAACAGAAGATTCAATTCAATTCAATTCAGTTTATTCAATTGTTTATTTTAAAGAATTTAATCATGAAACAAATTGAATAATACTTGTTACTAAATTAGATACATTATAATTATGTTCATGCATTCTGAAATTCACAAGGTGAACAAAAGAGAAATAAATCATGAAACAAATTTAATAATACTTGTTACTACATCAAATCACATTGTATCATCTTAACTTGTTTACATGACTGAAATAAACATCAGGGGCATCTTGTATTAAACGTTTGGTGTAAGTGGGGACTGAATAACATTTTAAAGCAAATCTTTAATATTCAGTTCCTGATTGGATGATGAATTACGTTGCGTTTATTTTAGAGCTGTGTTTGAACTGTAATAAAGGAAGCAGTTTCTGCTGAAGACCCCCCCCCCCCCCCCTCTCCATCCTTTATTATAAAACTTATCATCAATTACAAGCTACAGTAATTGATCCAAGCTACTGAAATCAGTGAAGTTTATTCGCTGTGATCAAATTTGGTATTTTATTGTATTGTATGTATTGTATTTTAATGATCTTCACACATGTAGCTAGTTGTATGAAACAGGGACCAGCTGTGATCTTCTTCTTTTGCCGTTGGAGCTGTGATAGCATTAAAAAAAATATTCCAGAATCTGACAAATATTCCACGTTTCTTTCCATTATTACGCAGCTGCTTACACGTGAACATAAATATTGCATTGAAGTAAATTAAGCATTCTCCAAGATAAAATGTGCATTTAACATATATTTCTGTATTTAGCATTTCTTTAGTGTTTTGTGATAAGATTATTTTCATTTGGACAAAATGACAATCGTTGGTCATAGTTTTATCTATACCTTTGCATGGAAGTGCTCTTAACAAAAATGGAATGGATTTTTTTTTTTTTTGGGGGGGGGGGGGTGGAAATACTGTTGAATATATATGGAGATTGTAGAAGATGAATTACTAATGTTGAATATATTTGTTTAATATGAATAAATTGGAATATATAATTATTGATAATTTAACGTTATCGAATATAAATGTTAATCAATCATGGTAGACAATCCACTTGATAATAAAGAAAGAACATGATATGAAAGTAAGATTGTGTTGTGTTATTTTCTTCTGCAATGATTTCAGAGTACTCCTATTGGTGATCTGAAATCATTAAATGGGAATTTCATACTGGAAAATTAATAATTTCAGTGTGATGTACTGTATTGTATGACAACTATCAAATTTGATTAAACACAGAACAAATGGAATTAAATAGGTACATTTAGGCCTACATATTTTTCGAACTCAATAACTGGGGAGAACCTATAGCAATATAATGTGCTAGTCGATCCTGAATGAAAAGTTGCTGAAACCGGAATGGATAATATTTTAGTTTACAGTGGAAATTTTTTATAACTAGGATATTGGGACCATGAAATATGAATTGTTCAATCAGGGCCTCATGATCGTCCTGAAGATTTGCGATTGATCCAAATCAATCTCAAGTCCTCTAATTGAACACAAGTTTGCAGTCTCTTTTCTCTTATGCACATAGTCATCAGAAATTCAGATTCTATTAGCGTGGGGATGCGTTTTGGGGGAAATGCATGTAATTTAGCCGCCAGGGCACAGCTTGTTAGTTTAGTAATCAGTACATTAATATGACTACTCGATGCAGGATGTGTACTTTTTCGCCCCCCTCCCCAGATCCCACCGATTCCTAAATCCTAACTGCTCTTTGTTGGTTTTATGGTACTCGATCACTCGCATGATCGGTCGAGTGGGACGATTGTTGTTACATGACGTTATGTCTAGTCGGTGGGGATTCCCCGACATTGCGACCGCGCAAGAGCACATTCTGGAGGACGGACACGCGACGGGCAGTGCGGACTCATATGCATTATAATTATGTAGGAGAATTTATCGGGTCGTCGCAGCGAAAAGATAGAACGTCAACAAGAAGTATAGTTCATGTCATGTTGTGTACATCACGTGATGTAGATTCTATCTAATACCAAAACAGTTATTTGTATAGCTTGATGTTCGTGTCCTGGAACAGATGCAGATGGAATATTTGGAAGATATATTAATTATATGGAGAAGACTTTAGCGGGCCGTCGCAGCTAAAAGATCGAACGTCAACAAGAAGTACAAGTACATGTCAGTTGTGTACATCACGTGGTGTAGATTGCATGCGTACGGGTTTATATGGTACGATTCAATTACCAAAACAATAATTATTTGTATAAACTTGGTGTTCGTGTCCTTGAACAGCTAGATGCAGATGGGATATTTGGAGACTGTCTGAGTCCGAGATCTGATCAATTCTCATCTTGTTTCGCAGTAAAGTGAATTGGAAGTTTTTTCTGTTTTCTCACACGTACGTCAACTAAAATGGGTTGTTTTCTATCAAAGACAAAGCCAAAGGCAAAGGCAAAGGTAAGCCGCGGTTAATTTGACTCAATCGTGATATATGAAAGAATCAAAGTTAATGTATAGATTGACATCCTCTCTCTTTCCCCTAGTCTCCCTCTCTCAGTCTCTCTCTTTCTCTCTTCTCTCTCTCTCTATCTCTTTCTCTCTCCTTCTCTCCACCTTCTCTGACTCTCCCTCTCTCCCTCCCTCTCTCTCTCTTTCCTCTACCCCTCCCCTTCTTCCTCCACCTCGGGACTTCCGCCACTCACTTGCTCATATCTGGTAATTTTTACTATATGAAAACGGAGTGAATAAATTTATGCATAACCTCGGCTCTGACCTCGAATTACAACGAAGATCCACTTTGCTCATTCGATCGATCATTCTCAAGAAAATCGAGGCTTCACAGCAACGTCGCAAAACTCCTTATAGCATGTTTTTTTTTTTTTTTTGACATAAACTCTTAAAACCAAAGTGTGTGTTTTTTTTATTTTTATTTTTTAGTTAAGGGTGAAACAAATAGGCCTATTTGGTGAGGATTTGGTAGAGCTATATGTGAGTTGTAAAATCGTTATGCATTGTTATTTTCTTTATTTTTCTTTTTTTGAGAAACTGGTAAAAATTTGATTTTGTCGGGGACTGTCGGGGACTGATTTTCCTTACTTGTTAATGTCACGTAAGTTTTTCCGTGATGATGTAGGGTTAATTAGTGTCATAAAAGGGATCTCAGTATAGGATTTATATGTTGGTGCATGCAGGAATAATGCTGTACTTTCTTTAACATTAGTAAATTGTTACCTGTATATGCTAGGATACTGAGAATTTAAAAAGATATTTTCCACATACTGTGGTCTTTATGATTTTCTGATATTTTTTTTTAATTAACTGCTGCTAGAAGTTAACCTTTTTTCTTCTACTTCTTTAGCGCGAAGTTTCAATTTGGAAAAAAGAGCACTTCAGTTTCTAAAACATTTAAGGCCATGTTGTTAACTATTATGATGAGTCTCCTGATAATGCCCATAGCGACGAGCCATTTCTGTCTTTTGCTTCCACCAGTTCAATTTCTGAGACTGGAAATTACTTTGCGTACATTAATTGTTTGATAGCGTCGGGCAAACATCCGGCAGGTATACCTTTTGATAACTGAGCAGGTATGAAGTTTGAACGCATATTATATATAAAGGGAAACTACCCTTTTTTTATATCGTGTTTTGTTGAGCATTTACGTGGAGAATGAAGCGATACGAAATCCTTGAGGTTGTTTAGTTCTCTGCTGCCTTTTAATTTGGCCGGTGGAGCCCCCCCCCCCCCCCGAAAAAAAATATGAAGCGGTAATTCTTTATAAGCGTGTAAATTCAAACGATGTATTATTTTAGAGCATAATATAATGATCTGCATGGCAAATAGGTCACTTAATATTATTACAGAATTATCGTTGCAGAGGAAGGGAGCTAGAGAAAGAGAGAGAGGGGAGAGAGAGAGGTGGTTAAATATCGTTAACTGACATTGTATCATGTTAAATAAATAACTGGAATCATTTAAATTTAATACAACACTATAGGGAAATAAACATGAACAACAATAACAACATGACATCTTGATACCACAACGTTTCTGAGGCGTGTGAATTTGTTGTTGTTGTTGTTGTAGTGGTTGTTACTGTCTATAAAGGACCTATCCAACAACAAGCGGCTTTATTTAAATAAAAACTCGTCTTTTTATTTAAACGCGTTTGAAAATGCAGTGATGTGACAATCCTGACTCTGATTCTTATTTGTTTCCATCTTATATCTCATGGTATACAGAACCGATTGAACATTGTCGTATGCAGTAATTCTGGTGAAGACAGCGTGCAAGGTCTAATCCGACATATCACCGAGAATATGTCAGACGTCGTAGGGTCGGCGAGCGTGAAATTTGCGCCTCTTCCCTTCAACGTGGCAGACATGAAGACATTCGAATTCCGTGGAATTGACGCCTTGCTTCTCTGTCATTCTATGGATATTAAGGGACCCTTTCGCTCCGGATACGGATTCAGCTCCATCTATCACAAGTTCTTGTACAAGGCAAAGAGGTGTTTGGGTAAGGTTCTCTCATGTGTGTGTTTTTTTTCTTCATTTTATTTTCTTTCTGATTTCTTTTTTCTTTATTAATTTTCTTCTTCTTCATTAATAGTTAAATGCATCGAAGTTCTTATTCAATTGATATCTGGCTCAACCGAAGGGGGCACTTCCCCCAAAAGAAAACAAAATTGATGGATCGTTTTCTCCTCGAATTCATGGAGAAAAAATACAAAGCGTCTACAAAAATAGAGAGGAAATACAGAACTAACGCGTCCATGCCGTTATACCTACTTTGCAAATAACCAATATTCATTCGATATTATGTTCATGGTTTGTTATCATAGTTTATAAGATGATGACGTGGATCCTAATCAAATGATTGGTTGGAAGCGTACACGTGACCAGGCATTTATTTTGCCTTATGCTTAATTTGGATAATGACCGGTCATTATCCAATTCTAATGACCGGTCATTAGTAAAATCATGTTATAAAACATCATTTTATAAAACAAATAAAACGTAATCTTATAAAACAAATAATACACATAATTTTGTTCGGGCATTAAAAGTGAAATTATACCCACACTCGGTACCTTCAAAACAGTCCAAACATGCACCCTCGGGCGTATTAGATTGTTCCAAACGTACCTTGTGTGGGTAATTCTTACGAATGCCCTCACTGCTGTGTATTATTTGTATAATAACATATTATTTGACAAATTATATTAGTATAAGGTAATTACTGGACAAAATAATCCGGACTATCCCCCATGCGACCCCCCCCCCCCTTCCCGAGGGAGTAGCCCTTCAATCTAAATTGTAAAAAAATAGTCCTGTTAACAGTCAGACGGTTTTTTTTTTCTTCTTCCTACCTTGCTCATCAAACAGGAAAGAAAAAAGTAGCTGTCATTGTGCACGACTACAAAGGTCTTTCGCGGGAAGCGCTTGAAACTTATAGCAAAACCAACAAGTCCACATTCAATATGACGTCACTGGTGCTGACACTGGGGCGACTTGCTGCAGGCGGTGGCTCGACTCAAATGACCGATGTACAGCTGGTCGAGTTCAAGTCCTTCTTTGAAGGAGCACTGTCCTGCCGCAGAATTGTAGGAGCATTTTACAGGTTTTTCTATCGCCTTATCCGTCAGTGAACTTCGATGAAGACTGAGTCCCAAGGAATGTATTTTTAAGATGTGAAGATGTGAAGTTCTTGAAATAACTGGAAACGTATCTAGGATCCGCAAACGGACAGACATTGTTGTTATCTATCTTATACAAAGTCATGTACATTATACCCAAGAAAATGTTCCTCTTTTATAAGGAGCTCAGTCAATTTAAGTGATGTTCATCAATATACCATGTCATGAAATTTAGGATCTTTGTAAATCTACAGAATGACGTGTAAAGTAAAGTATTCATTATCTCCTCAAGCTTTTAAAGTAACATCAGCTTGTCCCCCCCCCCCCCCGAAAAAAAGGTTTTAATTTCTCACGCTCATTGGTCATCCGTGGGATGTACGGTGGTGCAATAATTCCGAAGCACCTGAACAAATTTGCACCTACAGCTGAAGTGTATAAAGTATCATATTTAGGAGGCTTTTGATGTGTATTGTTTATAATATTTCATGTAAGATATCGCTTATTAATTGTGAGACCAGCAGTAGCAGCAAATATCATTACAAAAGCACAATTTAGTTAAATATGTTGACTTGCTGTATATAATATACAAATTGTGTGTATTTAAAAATGCTATTGTATGGACAAGTCTGAAGTCTTATCGACACTATTATATTTGCATCTTGGTGTAAAGTGAATCTGCATTCAATTGGTACCTTGCACATTGGCGGTTCATGCGGGGTTGGGGCGCCCCATCCCTAATTGAAAAATCGGAAAAGGGGAAACGAGAGAAGAAAAAAATTACCGAACATAATCATGTCGGGGAAAATATTATGTAAATATTAATTTCTAAAAGCTCCATGCTGCATTTTAATAAAGGACTATGTAAATAATTTGTTTTCTGTTGGGAATATTCATTTTTAATAATCAAACTCTTCTATGTACTTGAAATGTTTCTTCCTTTCAGCTTTCAAAACGCTTATAACAACCAAAATCAAATACCGGTCTGTAATTCTTTATATTTATAGTCGATGTTGATATTTCGCATACACACTCAAGTAGCAAACTCATGTTTAAAAAATGTTTATTTGTGGTGTACACGTAAATATATCGGTAATTAAAAATGCGTTTTCACTAACATCTGATCGTGGATAACATTACATTTGGTAGGCCTCCTTTCTATGTCAATCGGAAAGAAAATAAGTGATAACTGGAAATTAATACTCATTAAATTGTTGTTAGTAGACACTACGAATGTTTAACGGGCACTGTTGTGTACTGGCACAATTTCGCCAGGAATTCAGAGCTTTTAGACCGGCATTCCTTGCCCGGATATCATGAATATCACCATGACGACGAAAACAACAACAACACTAATAATAATGATAATATTGATAATAATAGTAATGATAATGGTAATAAAAGTTGTAGTAGTAGCAGCTGCTACTGCAAATATTTTTTCAGTAGAAGTAGAAGTAGTAGTAGTAGTAATAGTAGTAGGTATAGCACACCAAAAATATTTACAACAAACACATGTTATTTGATGGTTGCAAATGATCAAGCTTTATGAAAGCTTCAAAAAACAAAAAACAAAATTGAAATCGGTCAATGCGTTGTGATTTTTCACCATTTTTTTGTTATCGCAAAATTACCGAAAAACCTGCCAGAAATGGTCAAATTGTCAAAAATGGCATAAAAAAATAAAAATATGCGCATATGTAATCAAATCAAAACCGAACATGATACATCAGTGAAACCTATGTATATCAGACAGGTATGGAAATATATTTCATTTGAATTAAAATAATTATATATTCACGCACTCATTGTGTAAATTAGGAAAGTCAAACTGTTCATTTTGGGGGCATTTTTAAAATCATATATTCATAGATCATATTTACACCAAATATTTACCTTAAATTCCTAATATTTTTGCAATGCCAATACAATATGGCGATGGAAATTACTTGGATCACCGTCACAGCTATTTCCTCATGTGTTTCACAAATTATTCAGAAAAACCGATCATATAATAAGAATTTGTAGATTTTCAGCTACATCACAGTATATTTTTCTTTAAAAAAAAAATGTCAGATTTGAGGATTTATGACGATTTTCCGAGAAACAATTCAACAGACCACAACATTCCACAGAGACTGAATTTAAGAGAAAAACAAAGTTTGATGAACCCAGTACAATTGTGGCTATCTTAAGTCCAAATAACAAATTGATTTAATGAGTGAAACACATGAGGATATTGCATTTTTGTAGGGGAGTTTTATACATTGAGGTGCATTTTTTTCACCACGCAGAATAGCAGCGCGAGTCAATGGGCGATCAGCGGGCCATGCACACATGGCTGAAAAGACAATATTCTAATTCAATAATTAACATATTTCCCACATGCCTATAACAATGAAATTGTGTACGACTACAAAATATTGTAGTTAAAGGTATGCTTGAAATATATGTGAAATAAAAATTTAAAAATATTGTTTAGTTTTTTTAAATACATTTGCAAAAATTGCTATTTCTACGAACTGACTGCTGTGTGTGTGTGTGTGTGTGTGTGTGTTCACGGGGTAGACTGTTTGCACAGGCAGTGTGATCACCCTAATAGTAGTAGTAGTAGTTGTAGTAGTATTAATAATAATGATTTTGATAATAATAATAATGATAATAATAATAATAATTATTATTATTATTATAATAATGAAAATAACAATAATGATGATAATTATTAGTGTGCGGTTTTATACTTGTATATGTGAATATTCATCATTATTCTGTAGATTCTGTATATGGGAATATGCTTCAGAACGCGTCGTTATTGCTCATTTTATGTAAATAAATAGTTCATATATACGCCTCTATGTTTCCTTTTGTTTGTAAAATATTGATTGAGACTGTGTCAGGCGCGGATCCAGGATTTCTTAGGGGAGGGGGCCCAACTTTTTTTTTTTTTGCTCCCGAAAATTTGAAAATCGCGCCGGCCGAAAAGTCGCTCAGGGGGGGGGGGGGGGGGGGGGGGGGGGGGTACAGAGCACAATTTTTTTTTTTTTTTTTTTTTTTGCTCCCGAAAATTTGAAAAACGCGCCGGCCAAAAATTCGCTCAGTGGGGGGGGGGGGGGGGGGTGGGGTGGGGCTAGTGAGCACATTTTTTTTTTGATCCTCAAAAAAAATTCAATTTGCACAGGAAAGGGAAAGGGAAAGGGAAAGAGAAGATAAAAGGAAAGAAAGAAGAGGAAGAAGAAGAAAAGAGGAAAACGGGGGAAGGGCGAAGGACTCTTGCCCCCCCCTCCCCCCCCCCCCCGCCAAAAAATAAATCAGAGAGAGAGAGAGAAGGGAAAGGGAAAGGGAAAGAGAAGATAAAAGGAAAGAAAGAAGAGGAAGAAGAAGAAAAGAGGGAAACGGGGGCAAAGGGCTTTTGCCTCGTCCCCCGCCCCCCGCCAAAAAATAAATAAGAGAGAGAGAGAGAGAAGGAAAGGGAAAGAGAAAAAAGAAAGAGAAAAACGAAAAAGAGGGAGAATAGGAAAGAAAGGAAAAGAAAGAAAAGAAAGGAGGCAAGAGCCCTTCGCCCCTGTTTCCCTCTTTTCTTATTCTTTTTCCTCTTCTTTCTTTCCTTTTATATTTTCTTTCCCTCTCCCTTCTCTTTCCCTTTATGGCGGGAGGGGGGAGGGGGAGGTAAGAGCCTTTCGCCCTTCCCCCGTTTCCCTCTTTCCGTCTTCTTCTTCTTCTTCCTTTTATATTTTCTTTCCCTTTCCCTTTCCCTTCTCTCTATCTCTCTCTCTCTCTCCTATATATTTGTTGGCGCGGGAGGGGGGAGGAGGCAAGAGCCCCTTTTCTTCTTATTCTTCTTCCTTTCCTTTTTTATTCTCTTTCCCTTTCCCTTCTCTCTCTCTCTCTTATTTATTTTTTGGGCGGGGGGATGCAAGAGCCCTTCGCCCCCGTTTCCCTCTTTTCTTCTTCTTCTTCTTCCTCTTCTTTCTTTCCTTTTATCTTCTCTTTCCCTTTCCCTTTCCCTTCTCTCTCTATCTCTTATTTATTTTTTTGGCGGGGGGTGGGGAGGGAGGAGGCAAGAGCCCTTCGCCCTTCCCCCGTTTCCCTCTTTCCTTCTTATTCCTCTTCTTTCTTTCCTTTTATATTTCTTTCCCTTTCCCTTCTCTCTCTTATTTATTTTGGCGGGGGGGGGGGGGAGGAGGCAAGAGCCCTTCGCCCTTCCCTGTTTCCCTCTTATTCCTCTTCTTTCTTTCCCTTTCCTTTCTCTCTCTCTCTCTCTCTCTCCCTCTCTTATTTATTTTTTTGGCGGGGGGGGGGGGGAAGTGAGGAGGAGGCAAGAGCCCTTCGCCCCCCCGTTTCCCTCTTTTCTTCTTATTATTCTTTCTTTCCTTTTATCTTCTCTTTCCCTTTCCCTTTTTTCCTTCTCTCTGTCTCCCCCAGCTAGGGCTGGTTTTGTTTACGAAGCGCCCGTCAGGAGAGTACACGATAGAGTACACGATAGAGTACACGATAAAGTTGACGATATCGTGAACTTTATATCGTGAAATTTTCACGATAAAATTCACGATATCGTCAATTTCATCGTGAAAAGTTCACGATAAAGTTCACGATATCGTCAATTTCGTGAATTTCTTCGTGAAAAATATGCGATAAAATTGACGATATCGTGAATTTTATCGCATATTTTTCACGATTTAGTCTATTCGCGATGTCCCTTCAGGGCCACCATATGCTGCCGGATTGTTAAAGGGAACCAAAACTTTCATACTAAGTTACTTTTATTGTAAAGTTTAAGATATTTGAAAAATATCAGTGAAAATTTGAACAAAATCGGGCAAGGAATAAGGAAGTTAGAGCTTTTTGAAATGACTAGTCACTAGAGGGCGGTATTCAATTTGATGACATCATCTGTGGACAACTCTCCATACCTTTTGTACATCAAATTTCATGTTTTTCCTTCTTTCTTGTGATTGAGATAATCTACTCCCCTGAAAGCAAGATGTAGAATGCAAAAAGATATTATACTTCACATGTTATGAAGTCGGATCAAGAACACAAATAAATACGAAGAAAACAAAAAAATTGTGAAATTTTATGTACAAAAGGCATGGAGAGTTGTCCACAGATGATGTCATCAAATTGAATACCGCCCTCTAGTATTCAAAGACTCAATGAAGATGGTTGTGCCCGTCGATGCATTACAATCCCTAGATGTAACGCATGCCGACACTCCAAGGAAGCTTCAGGGACGATCCTACGGCATTTAATATTCAATCTCAATTTCTTCCTCACACCACATGCAATTTTCGTGATAGGCGCTGCATTAGCCCTTTGAAGATTAGAAGAATAGTAAGGAGAAGGAGAAAGAAGAGGAGGAGGAGGAGGAGGAGGAGGAGGAGGAGAAAGAAAGATTAAATTACATATACGGACTCCAGCTAAAGACAGAATCATTTCTTCCTGGTGCGAGTTATCTTTAAGTATAAACAAATTATTATGAATAGATGTGAATCCAGGATTTTGTAAAAGGAGAGGAGGGGCACAGAACATTTTTAAAAAGCATGGGCTAGTTGCCCCCCCCCCCCCCCCTTTCCTTAAATCCGCCGCGGGTTCAATATTTCCCTAATGATTTACCGGTGACCTTTACACCTGTTCCAGTTCGTGCTCACTCTCAGAATTGTCTACACTTAATATGGACTCCGACTGAGTGAAACAATCAGTGAATATTAACAGAATTTTGCATGAGTACTGTATTTCGGCATGGAACTATGGTTCGTTAAAGAGGATTCCCCGGCCGATAGCATGTTTATGCGCGCGCAAGTGCAGATCATTCTAGAAATTTGATTTTCTCTTTGAAATTCAGATACCGTCCACAAAATGACTTTTTGGTTCCCT